TCCATATCCGTTTCCAGATTCAGCAGGTATTTGTGGGGAAGGACAACTGGATGAGGATCTGTTTCAGTAAATAACAAGACACACCTTCCCTGCAAAGCATACCCATCTTCATTTTCATGAAATGTGTAATGTCCCTAATTAGTTCCTGCTGACCCACAGCCTGTCGGAAGCCGTTCGGAAATAAGACTTGCCCTTCTTCTAGATCAATTTCTCCCACCAAAGTTAAAGTTCAGGTTAAATTCTACTCTAAAGTTCAAATTAAATCCTATTCTAAAGTTCACGTTAAAAATACTCTAAGGTTCACGTTAAATCCTATACTATAACCCACGTTAAATCCTACTCTATAATTCACATTAAATCCTACTCTAAATTTCAGATTAAATCCTACTCTAAAGTTCATGTTAAAAATACTCTAATGTTCACATTAAATCCTACCCTAAAAGTCACGTTAAGTCCTACCCTAAAGTTCACATTAAATCCTACCCTAAAGTTCACGTTAAAAATACTCTAAAATTCACGTTAAATCCTACCCTAAAGTTCACGTTAAGTCCTACTCTAAAGTTCACATTAAATCCTACCCTAAAGTTGACGTTAAATCTTACCCTAAAATTCACGTTAAATCCCAATCTAAAGTTCACTTTAAATCCTACTCTAAAGTTCACATTTAAATCCTACTCTAAAGCGTTACCTATGACTGGGAGAAAAGATGTGTTGATGATTTCATCATTTCGTGAAAACGAAAAAATACTAAAGTTTAATTTGCATGTTCCCATCCAAATATATATTCAAGCATCTTCTGACCTGAAAACTAATAGATGTATGAAGACTGTGATGAGAAAAGCAGGAATTATTTTCAGTATCTACTTTGAATTCAATAATAAATATGCATTTACCGTTGTGGACAGAATTATTCGCCTCCACTGAATATTTGCATATTTCATAAAGAATTGCGAATATTTTTAAGTACTTACTGAATTTATAATAAATAGATGGTTCCGTATTTAGTTTTGAATAATTCGGGAAGATATTGACCTACCGTCCCACGCGGTCGGATGCAGCACAAGGCCAAGTTTATTGTGGGGTATCCGAGCCCATAGGCCCGGTCAAAATTTCCCTGTAGACCCCGTACAAACGGGTCGCGTAGCTGTCTACCACCCCAGACGAGACTCTGCCCTTCAGCATAACTTCTTCTGGGAATTCTCTCTGCTCAGAGGCGGAGAGTTTGAAAAGTACACGGAGAAGTGAATTCCACAGTGAATCGAATAATTCGTGAAATTTTTAGAAGATTCGATGTATTATATTTATAGTTATAGAATTTTCTAAAAATTGATGCAGTCCAAATTTATTCGCCCCACTTATGGAAAAACTTGACCTAAACCCCATTGAAATGTTATGGGCATATTTGAAGAAAAAAATAAGAAAAAGAATTCTTTTTAATTTGGAGGAAATAGAAGCTACTGCCAAGGGAATTGAAGCAAAATATCTACCAGTGTGTGCAGTGTTCTCGTAAGGAACTATAAAATATGATTAACGCGATTCATGAAGAATTATAATTTTGAAACAACAGGGCCAATATTTTATTTGTATTTGAAATTAAAATGAAAATTTTGTTGTTGGCATTAGTGCACAACATTTCAAATCCAGTCGCCTCTCTCTGTCTTTTTTACAAATACTTTCATGGTAATTGCTTTCGCTGGTTCCCAGACTTCATGAATTCAAGCGTTCAACTAGGCTGGCCTCCCGCTCTCACACTTTCACTGTTGAAACTGATAAATGTAGCCGTCTCTTCTACTTCAACAGCTTCATATCTCGCGCCTCTCACCTGTGGAACTCCTTTCTCTTTTCCTGTTTCCCTGATAGCTATAATCTCCAACTATTCAATTGTAATGTCAATTGACATCTCCAGTTACCTTGATCTATCCACTGTCCTTCTCCTCATCATTTCCTCTATCACTCCTATCTGCTCTTGGTCAAAAAAAAAAAAAAAAAAAAATCATCATTTGTGAAGTTTCCATAAAAATTTGAGGTATTACAGATTTATTTCTTATTGTGCAAGAAGGGGTGAGTAATTCTTACATCAGCAGTATTGTAGCTAAGAAGTAAAACGCTAAACCGACTCTTAATTACGAAACATCAATAGTCGAAAAAAAAATAGGAAACTGTCTATATTTCCGAGATGAGGTATTATGTACAATATTTACATTATTCGGACTATAGTTCTCATCTTTTTTGCCATATTTATTACAACGTTTCAGCCGTTGTACGCTCCGGCCTTCTTCATGTGGTTGGAATTTCGAACAGAACCCTTTATTTCGCTCACTGGGGTAGACTGTTCCAGTTCCACGTGTCATGTTTAATGGATGTCAGTTATCAGCTATCTCCTTTTAATTCCCCTCTCCAAGTTCTCCACTGCGTTAACCGGGTATTGAACGCACACTATTTGGGTCCATTCACTGGATCTATCTAACGCCTTTATCCACTGATAGTTAAATCCATTGACTGGACCCAAAAGAGTGTGAGTTCAATTTTCGGTTAAGGCAGTGGAGAACTTGGAGAGAGGAATTAACATGAGATAACTGATAACTGACATCCTTTAAACTTGGCACGGGAAACTGGAACAGTCTACCCCAGTAAATGATGGGTTCAGTTCGACATTCCAACCACCTGAAGAAGGACAGCGCTTACAACAGCCGAAACGTTGTATTAAATATGGTGACAAAGATGAGGATAATAGTCCGAATAATGTAAATAGTGTGAAAAATAGGGAAGTATGGTATTTCAAATAAGAAAGGAAATATCCGGCCCTATCAAACAACAATGACTGTATTTGCCCATAAAAACACGACTCGCTCAATAAAACAACAAAACTCAAGTCAGATATAATGAGATTGACACTTCATAGACATCTTTTTTTATTTCCAATGTCAAATCTTTAAACAAATATATTTATCTGAGCGAATAGATCTTGATTTGAAACATTTCAGCAATTATTTCCCTTAAAGATAAAAATGTTCCCAGAGTTTGATGAAAAACCCTTCAAAGAAGAGATCAAAAAATGACATTCTGATGTCGGAACATTTGGTAGGATATAGTAGTCAGATGGGACAAGAGCTTTTCAGCACCCTCATATTGATTGGCTGAAACGCATCCACACCCACATGTTTTTTTTGAGTCACACACAAGCCCACTGTTGTATATAATGAACTTTTCTTTTTCAAGATAAGATCGAAATAAAAATCGAAACACTATTTATGAAGAGAACAAGGCATTAAATAGCTGATAAATCTGCGATTAGATCAAATAATCAAGTGATCAATATACAATTAATAGATGAAAGCGATTGATTTCCCTGACGACTCATTTCCGCCTTCCATAATCCTCTGTTATGATCAATTATTTCTGTTGATCACACAATCAAGTCTGACATCTGCTTTAAATGATTTTACTTTGTTTCTTTTTCTTTTCATCGCCATCTTTTTTGTCACCTTTTTCTTTCTTTCTACATTTTAACTAAGCACAGTTTACCGCAGCCCAAGTGGATATAATTGGGGGGGGGAAACAAAGCGAAGATTGTGTTACGACTCTTAGATAATTAGAAAAGTGTGTTCCACGTTGCAAAGCAATATTGACCTAAGTGGCTTTTATCTGGTCACGTGTACTGTTCCCCCAGAAAAAAAAAGAAAACGTAATTTGGAGAGAAGAGGATCTTGTTCGGCTCTAGAAATGTGTAAAATAAACGCAATCACAATAATTCGTTATAATGTCTTCATTGTTTCAGCATAGCCAAAAGATGGCAGGCATACTGATGTAATGGAATAACCAGTCAACCCCATGAATGCTTACACTATAGGTAGTAAGTACCTATAAAGTCAACCGTCTACAAGAGACTCGGGAGAAGTGCATGAGCGAGACGTCACATCCGGGTGGTTTGCTGTGCAGCCCTCCCTTTGTTTAGACAAGCTGTGTGTATCTAGTTAATGTGAGTAAATGTTTTTCCTGGCCTTTTCCCGGCTGCAGCTTTGGTTATGATCCAAGTCGAGATTCCTAACCTCCCCAGTTTTGTTTTTGTCCCCCCTTTTTCATCTCGACTGGGTCAGCTTTTATATTTCCCATGCCCGTATATATTTTCACCTTTTACCTACTCCCTTAGCAAGAGAGCTTCTTGATTTTGTCCAATGGCCAGAATACAGTGGCCTCTCTTTTTTGAGGGTTGAACGGGCCCTACTAACATCAGTTATGTTTAGTTTACTTTGTGTTGATTTTTAGTCTGTTTTGGGGTTCATCCCTCCCCTCTCATTCTTAATGATTAAAATTTTGAACATAATAACTTATTATCATTAAATTTTTATGGCATGGGGTGAGTTTTGTAGGTTCCCCTTGGGAGAATGCGGTATTATGGTGTATGGAGGATTGATTGGTGACGGACATGTTTTTATGGTGAATGCTAAAATTGTAATGAGTAAATGGGTCGTGAATCGGATTAGCTAAGTATAAGTTAGTGATGACCAGCCTCAACCCCTCCCCTTTTTTGGCCTTGTGCCACAATTAAGTAATTTTACATAATAAATACCAGGAGTTTATAAGCGAGACGACGCAAGCACGTCCGATCTTCCAATTAGTGGCACTCACTACAAGATATACTTGTGTGTATAACTGTACCATATTTCATATTGTATTTGTGTACAATAAATCGTCTAGTACACAGCTGGTGTTGTGTGTGTATTCCCTTAGCACGGAATATAACACATACTAACGTATGCGCGGATTCCGCTAGTTCATAGCCGTTGGACTGATTCACTGAATGCGGCTGTCACATCAGATCGACGCGGTTTAGCCTCTCTCTGGACTGCATGTCAAGTGGCTTATGGGCATGTCAAGTTGAATCATCAGTCCCCGTAGGATCGCCCAAGTTAAGCTATGTCGAGCGTAGTCAGTACCTAGATCAATGACAGCGTGGCTATATCAAGCGCTATATGATGGGATGTGCGGGTGGTATGTCTTACGTCCATATAGCGTTGAAACACCGGTTCCCGTTTAATCACCGGTTAAGCAACGTCGTGCCTGGTCAGTACTTAGATAGGTGACTGCTTGGCAATACCAGGCGTGGTAAGTTTGGATGTGCTGGCGGCAGATTTTACGGTATTATCACTGTGAAACATTGGTTTCCTTACCATCAGCCTTGTCAGTGCCTAGATGGGTGACTGCTTGGAAATATCAGGCACTGTAAGCTTGAGTGTGCGGGTAGGCATGTCAGACAGGCATATCCCGTTGAAACATCGGTTTCCTTACGATCACCGAAGTTAAGCAACGTCCAGCCTTGTCAGTGCCTAGATGGGTGACTGCTTGGGAATACCAGGCGCTGTAAGCTTGAGTGGGAGGGTAGTATGTCTTACAGCCATATCCCGTTGAAACACCGGCTTCCTTCCCGTTGAAACACTGGTTTCCTTAAGATCACCGAAGCTAAGAAGCATTGATCCTGGTCAGTAACTCGACGGGTGACTGTGAATACGAGATGTTGTTAATCGTGGGGAGATATGAATCCACCTCTTCTGCCCATTCTATGAGTTATTTAGTAAGGCTTTTATCTACTAAATCATTATCATCTGCAAAAATAGCTTCTTATACTCTAAAAAAAATAAGACCTTACTTTAAATAACTAGCAAAGCGTTGGCTAGCCGTAGAAAATAGAATCAATCATAAAGCATGGCATCCCTTTCTGGTTTGAAAATTATGGTTTTATTCTTATATGTTACTTACGTTATTCATATTCGGTGTAAACTCCTCATTTTTGTTGGTTCGTGAATTTAATGACATATTTATCGGGAGTTCAGCCTCTGGGCCATGTAGTACAGACTGAGTTCAAGAAAGCTGAGCAATAACTGAGCAGTACACTATTTACATTATTATGACTATTGTCTTCATCTTTTCGTCATATTTATTACAACGTTTCGATCGTTGTACGCTCCGGCCTTCTTCAGGTGGTCGGAATGTCGAACTGAACCATTTATTTTGCTTACTGGAGTAGACTGTTCTAGTTCCACATGCCATGTTTAATGGATATCAGTTATCAGTTATCTTCTGTTAATTCTCCTCCCCAAGTTCTCCACTGCCATAACCGGGGATTGAGGACACATGGCACAGTGGAAAAAGGCGATGGTAAGATCCAGTGACAGGACCCAAAAAGTGTGAGTTCATATGGAGACAAAGATGAGGACAATAGTCCGAATAATGTAAATAGTGTACATAATACCTCATCTCAGAAATATAGACAGATACTGAAAGGCCAAAACGTTGTAATAAATATGGCAACAAACATGAGGACAATAGTCCGAATAATGTAAATAGTGTACATAATACCTCATCTCAGAAATATAGACAAATACTGAAAGGCTGAATCGTTGTAATAAATATGGCGACAAAAGTGAGGACAATAGTCCGAATAATGTAAATAGTGTACATAATACCTCATCTCAGAAATATAGACAGTAACTGTGCAGTGCTATAAAAGAACAAGACTAGATATCCGTAGACCTTGACGGCCGAACAAGAACATTCCATTTTTGTAGATTAAATAAAGGTTTTATTTCCAGATTTGCTGAAGTCTTCCGGGATTGACTTAAACGTGAAGAAGTCAGGTGAATATTACAACAGAAAAATTGTGATAATAACCTCCAAATGCTTATCTATGTCTGAATTTAAATAATGTGTATAACAATAATTAAAACATATAATTTAGACAAAAAATAAATCAGTTTTATCAGCTCACACTTCGGTGTCGACTTAAGCATACCTTGATAATTCTAGTTAACTGTATTCTGTAAAAATAGTTTCATTTTATCTTTATAAAACATTCTTAAAATCATAAGTTGGAAATGTACGAAACTGAGGCAAGAATAATTTTTGGAATAGAAAAATTAGAATAAAAGTAAAAGTTACTTCCTTACATATATCTGTGAGCATATAGGATGCGAGAGGTAAATTGTCGTCATTGTTTATTTTTATTTTTGCGCATGCACGTTGTTTGTTTTTGATTTTATCGAATCCTTTCTGAAGTGGGGTCGTTTCTATATGAGAAAAAAAGAGCAGCTTGACGCAATTCACTGTATCAAAAATTTCAAAACAGCATTCTGCAATGCTTGGCATTCGCCCCGGAAGTTCCAATACGAACATTTAAGAATGTTTGGGTGTCAATCTTATGCCATCGCAGAGGAATCGGAAAGAGTTAGAAGATATATCATGTCAACATTATGATGTTTAGAATGATCGCTAGTGTTGGTGTCGTTATACGTACATTTTAATTTCCATAGGGCCTCTAACTCAATATGGAGGCCTTCATCAAGTGCCTTGATGCGATAGTGCTGTGTAAAGAGGATAGCTGCTGGAAGACCCTATATCTGGCAACATGAATGCACCATGCCACAAGCAAGGGAAACCATTGATGGCTGTCAAACAATTTCTGCGACCACATCCCCCCCTTACATCTGGCCACCTAACTCCTCAGACTGCAGCTCCTTGATTATTATGTGTGAAGTGCAGTCGAGCGAGAGGCCAACAGAAATCGTTGTAACACCAAAGATGAAGGATTTTCGCTGACAACCTAAACGGGGAGACCGTCCAGAAGGGTATCTGGAGATTGCGAAGTCGCTTGGGAGCCATGGTTGTAGCTAATGGCAATTTTATTGAATAAATTTATACTTTAGTATTTCAAGATATTCTTGTGTAATATTGTTAAATATATCTGTTAAAACGAGATGTTAGTGTTATTTTCATTTGTGCGTAATTTAGACGACAATGTATCTATCACACCATTTATATATGTAAAATCTACGAATATAATATATTCATATATGTAAAATCTCCGAACATAATCTTGCAAAATGAAAGGTCCAATAAATGTTGTCTAAAATACACCTGTAATATTTCCAAAGACACCTTCTTAATTTTTTTCTTTGAATCTTGAATTCATGAAGATAACAGCAAAGTTTTATTATTGTTCTATGAGATATTTGTATCAGTAAATTCCCCGTAAAACACCATAGGAAAAGTTTGGAGTGTATTAGTTACTCTTTTTTAAGCTAAATACGTACTCCTAAATAATGTAAAACATTTTAAATATTTAGAAACCAACCAATTGAAATTTAAATATGCAGAGGATTTTAAAAGATGAAAGAAAACAAATAGAAATCAAAAAAGAAAAGAATTGATAAGGGAGGAAAGCAAGTGAATAAAATACGAGAAAATCATCTTTTCAAATTGTCCACACACAGACTCTTTGCTTCCGCTGTTTTCTTCTTTGCTTCCACTGTTTTCTTCTTTGCTTCCGCTGTTTTTTTCTTTGCTTCCACTGTTTTCTTCTTTGCTTCCGCTGTTTTTTCTTTGCTTCCGCAGTTTTCTTCTTTGCTTCGCTGTTTACTTCTTTGCTTCAGCTGTTTTCTTCTTTGCTTCTGCTGGTTTCTTCTTTACTTTCATTTGTTTCTTTGCTTTTACTGGTTTCTTCTTGCTTCCGATTATTTATTCTTTGCTTCCGCTGTTTACTTCTTTGCTCTCATTGTTTTCTACGTTGCTTCTGCTGTTTTCTGCTTTGATTCCACCCGTTTATTCTTTGCTTTCACTGTTATCTTCTTTGCTCCCACTGGTTTCTTCTTTGCTCCTGGTGGTATATTCTTTGCTTCCGCTGATACTTCTTTTCTTTCGCTGATACTTGTTTGTTTCCGTTGTTTTATTTTTTGTTCTTTGTTGCTTATTCTTTGCTTCCGCTGGTAACATTTTAGTTTATGTCTTTATTTAGGCATGTTGCAAAGAGATTTTGAAAAGAAATAACCTGAATTTGAAAGAAAAGAAGTATGGGGCGCCCGACGAGGAAAAATATTCTTACACAATCTAATTCGTCAAAAACAGTCCATAGGAGATATCCTGAAGTATATATCGTAAAGTTTACTTACAGTGGGCGTTTGTGAGTATCGAAGCCAGTGTGATAGCAAATATGACGGCATAAAAAACAGAGCAAACAATTATATGGCAGGTTACATACATTAACACAGACACATATACACATTTCAAAGCAAATATAGGGCTCATTGTGTTGCACGTATTTAAATACAATAGCAAGAATGTTATTGGTTTGTCAAGGATTGCAAATTTGAGAACATTCATGAATATTCATGAAGTGGTTGAAAGGTCAGTCAAAACTTATGAAAGACACAAAGTGCCATAATTCAAAGCCTATTAAGATAAAAGATAGCACGTAATACTCAAGAAATATGGGGGACGCTAAGTGATGTAATTCAATGCTTAATAAACGAAGATGAGTAAATGTTGCTAATGTTTCAGTAAATTTTATTTTTTGAATTTTTTTATATTTATTTTTTGGAAGGAGTTTGCCAGCCAAAAAAATGTCATTCCAGTCAAATCAGGATAAAGTTTTATAATTAAACATAGAGTAGAAAAACATGATGGAAAATGTGACGCCGTGATCCGAACACACATTGAACGAACAAAAGATGCATTGTAAAAGCTAGGGTACTGTGAAATGATATATTTTTATTCGAAACAAAGAAAAGAGTGCTGGATTGCTATGTGATATCCATCTTCTTATATGCCAGTGAACGTCGAACACTCTCCCCATGGACAAAGAAAAAACTAGAGGCAGCAAAATTATGTTTCTACAAGATTCTAAAAAATTAAGGAAATCTCTCAGAAAATGGCAACAATTGTACACTTACAATCAAAATCAGGAAAAGATAGCTGAAAATTCTTGGAAATGAGGAAAGAGCGCTTGGAAAATTCACTAGGGTAGGCAGCGAGCCATTTACGTGTGAACCTAGTGTGGGTATATGGTGGACCAGAGAATAGGAAACCACAACAAATGAAGAAGATTGCTAAAAGCCACATAAGAAGTTGCGGAGAGCCATGATCGAAAAGCGACGTGCAACATTGAAGAATGAAAAACGATGGGTAAAAAAATTAAAGTCACATTGAATTTCCAAATTATAGGCTGTAAATTCTTTTTCTTGAAATGAACTCACTATATGATATATGATAGATACATATGGACAAACACAAGTTTGGAGGCTGTCATGATATTTTATGAAAGAAAAACAAGATAAATTTACAAAAATAATTGTTAAAATATATCTTGTGTGCGGTCTTCAATCAAACCAACTTAATTGAAAAATTGAAATCAAATATAAATTACACGACGGACGTAAATTACAATCCAGAAGTAATGTGAAATATAAACAAAAGAATGAAAGAATTGCAAGTAGAAACACAAAAAGAAGGTTATAGATTAATTTGGAAAGAGAAATAAAATATTTTTAATACGAAAGAAAATTTAATGATTTGAAGCTTTTAAGCGAATAATACCTGTGATTAAAAACAAAGAATACACAAAAAATAAAATGATAAATTCTTTCTAAAGAAATTGCAAGGCAGCCAAAGATGAAGACGTAAAAATCTTTGACGTCAGTCTTGGTCATTAAACGCAAATTAAAAATGTAAACGATTCAATTGCTATTGCCACGCTAATGCTAAAACTACAAAAATGGCGGTGGTATTGAAAAGCGTAACTAAGTCCAAATTTGTTGTCACAAAGAAATCAAATTTGGTGTTTTTCGAGCATTATAGTTTATAAGATTATCTCGCAGACAATCGACTTTTAAAATAACATGGGTCATTACTTTCGACACACGAAACTGTGCTTTATAATTTACAATCGGTTGATATAATTTCATTATTTAACTTATTCGGACTATTATCATCATCTTCATTGACATATTCATAACGTTTCGGCCGTTGTACGCTTCGACCTTTATGACACATGTCTCTATCTTTATCTCTGTCTATATCTCTGAGATGAGGTATTATGATTACTTACATTATTTACATTATTCGGATTGCTATCCACATCTTCATTGTCATATTCACAACGTTTAGGTCGTTGTACGCTACGGCCTTTGTGTCATATTTCTCTGTCTATATCTCTGAGATGAGGTATTACGATTACTTGCATCATTTACATTATTCGGACTGTTATCCTCATCTTCATTACATTATTCACAACGTTTCGACCGTTGTACGCTCCAACCTTCTTCGGTTAATTGGAATTTCGGATGTCTCTAAATGTTTGGTTCACCACTGCTTTGGCCTAGTATTGAACGCACAACTCTTTGCGTCTAGTCACTGGATACCAACGTCTTTATAGACTGAGCCAAGTGTCATTGGAGAGTTTAGTTAAAGGGAAATAACTGAGACACCAGGAAGAGGCATGACACGTGGAACTAGAACAATCTACCTCGGTAGACGAAATAAAGGGATCGGTTAGAAATTCCAGTCACCTGAAGAAGGCCGGAGCGTACAACGGCCGAAACGATGTGAATATAACAATAAAGATGAGAATAAGTCAGAATAATTGCTTAATGTTGATACAAGAGTTCTATGTAAGGTAGAAATGAAACTTAATAATGTGGTGAGGACTGATACAAAAACTTAGTGCAGGTATTAATGATCAGTTAATTGCACAGGGAATAATGCACTCAAACCAGATGAGACATCGTTCTATGAAATGCCCAAGTCTAATGTCTCATGTTACAAATTTAGTGGTTCTCTTAAATCTCACATTCAAGCAGACATTTACTTCTGGTCTCAGAGATATAGACAAAGAAATATGACATAAAGGCCGTAGCGTACAACGGCTGAAACGTTGTAAATATGTCGATGTAGATGAGGATAACAGCCCGAATAATGTAAATAATGCAAGTAATCATACTACGTCATCTCAGCGATATAGACAGACATATAGACAGAGAAATATAACATAAAGACCGTAGCGTACAAAGGCCGAAATGCGGTGAATATGGCAATGTAGTTGAGGATAACAGTCGACAGTGGATTCGACTGGAATTTGAAGTCGGCCTTCCGCTTCCTCACTCCGAGCCGCTATCCATGACTCCACGCCTACTATTTACAATTGCAAATTGGAAAAGGACAAAGCAAGGGTTGCGCAAAAAGTTCCTGTTATGCGCCTTTTTGGACAGAATAACCTTATCAAGACGCAATAAAAAATGACACTCAGAAACAGGAAAAAAATAAGTCATCAAAAATGTTGATAAGACCAACAGATTCGTATACAAAATATAGACATTGGAAAATACAGAAATAAACGAAAACTCTGAGTAAGAGGATTCACAATATAGCAAAAGGCACAATATTTTAAATGATACCAAACTTTGTAAAAGATCTCTCGGTTCGAAAAGGATTTGATTTTTTGTAAGTTCTGGGGTGTGAAATTTGTCGTATGAATCTGCGTTTGATCTGTCACAACAAATTTATAACATCTCACTGGACTTTTATGTCTTGTGAAAACTGCACTGGTCGAAGTTGACGCTTTGTCGTTTACTTTTGAACTCTCTTCCCCTTACCAATTCCTGATAGCAGTCCTTTTTATTCTCAATGGGGTCATAATATTCGGCAAAATTTTTAGGTGTTAGAAAAACTTGATTCCCATTGGCCAATATATATATAAAATCCCCTTCCGAATATTCAAAAAAAGTAAATTCACAAAATCTTAGAGCTTCTTCTTCGTTTCAGCCTAAAAGAACATAACAAATAGCAGGAGAGACCAGGTTTTATATCATTGGATGGCAAGAATGCACAAAAATTGTTTATACTATTTTTGGTGTAAAAAAACTGACATAAAAAAACATGCATTATACTCGTGCATATACGTGTATCGGGTTAACCCAAATGTTCACTCGCTCATTAAGTAGAACATTTACATAATACATAAAACAAACGTTTCTGTCAACCCGACACTTGCGCACAATGTATTTAATCAGTCCCACAATGCATTTTATCAGTCCAGAACGTTTTTAATGAGGATTGGTATTGTTCAGTTTTTCTTTTAGAACTTTACCAACAGAGCATTAATAATTTTGCAAATATCTGTTACCAATTTATTTTGATTTGTCATGTATCCGTCATCTGTTTTTTCTTTACTCTTTTTAATCAATCCACCCCAAGTAAGGCGATAATGCCACTAAGATGCAAGAAGTTACTGGAAGTAAAAGGTAACGAGGAGACTTTAAGAAGGAACCAGAAACTCAATCCTAAACCTCTACACCCGTTCAATAGACCGGGGAGTATTCTGATCCACACGATAAGCGAAACTATCTATTCCTATTAATGTACCTCTGTAAAATACTGTAAATTACTTCCTGAAACTATTGTCAATGTTTTCCATATTATCACGGTTTGTGAACTTATTTATTCTGCCTTACAAAGAGTGAAATTAACGCCTACTGTTCTAGATCATCAAAAGTCCTGTTGAAAGAAAAATACAATACGCAACGGGAGCCCGTCAGTTATGTATCATGCTTGATACACGTTTAGGCGATGATGTATCTTCCGATACATGACCGACGAGGCAGATTTTTAAAAATACTTTCTGCGGTAGACCAGTTACCATCCAAGGCTGTAGAACCGGGTCTGTCCTGCTGTTCCCCATAGATGAAGTGGGAGAAGAAGAGGATTCATACCATTCCTAAGGGTATTAGTACGTAAGTGAAGATAATAAATTCAACTGGAATTCGAACTCGGCTCTCCGATTCCTCAATCCGAGCCGCTATTGATTACTCCATGGTGCCTCCATTTTTTAAACAAACCGCCGTTTAATCATATTTTCGGCCACAAAGGTCTTTA